GTAAAGAAAGAAAGAACAAGAGAAAACAACAACAATATTTAAAATTTCACAATCAAATATCAAATTCATAACACTTGGAGATGGAATAATAACAAATAAAAAAGAAATAGAAATAGGAGAAGGAGAAAAAATTGAAGTAAATAAAGAAATCAGAGAATTAATATGTATTGGAAATGAAAATAAAGAAAAAAAGAAAATACAAATAAGTAGTAAAGAAGAAAATGAAAAATATTCAATTAGAGTCAAACCAAATATTATTACAATTGAAGGAGGATATGCATGTGAATTTGAAATATTCATTACAATCAAATGTACTACTAAAATTAAAGAACAAATAATGATAATTAGTAAAACACTTAATAAAACACAAGAAGAAATAATTAAAAGTATTTCAATTAAAGGAGAAACACAAATATCAACACGACTTGATCCAGATGAAATAAAAGAAGAACATAAAATAGGAGAAGGATCATTTGGAATTGTATATATAGGAGAATTTAGAGGGAATCAAGTAGCAATTAAAAAAATGAAAGAAATTGATAAAGATGAAGATAAAATGAAAGAATTTGAGAAAGAAGTAATGATGTTAGATAAATTTAGAAGTGAATATATTATTCAATTTTATGGAGCAGTATTTATTCCTAATAAAATATGTATGATAACAGAATATGCAAAATATGGATCAATACAAGATTTAATTAATAAAAGAACAAACACTGAAATACCAAATAAAATAAGAATTAAATTCATGCTAGATGGAGCAAAAGGAATTTCATATCTTCATTCAAATGGAATAATACATCGAGATATTAAACCAGATAATTTTCTTGTTATAACACTTGATGATAATATTGGAATTAATTGTAAATTAACAGATTTTGGAAGTTCAAGAAACATTAATATGATGATGACAAATATGACATTTACAAAAGGGATATGATCACCAAAATACATGGCACCTGAAGTATTAAATCGAGAACATTATAAAATGGCATCAGATATATATTCATATTCAAATAATGTTACAAATCATTACATGGGAAGAACCATTTCCTAAAGAAATATATAAATATCCATGGGATATAGCAAATACAATATCAACAGGTAAACGACCACCAATAATACAAGAAGTTAAAGAAGATATTAAAGAAATTATTGAAAAAACATGGAAACAAGAACCAAAAGAAAGAATAACAATAGAAGAATAGTAAGAATGTTAGAAAGAAATGAAATAAAATAAATAAAAATGGTTTTTATTGTGATGTTTTATTGTTTTAATATTTAATACATTACAATGACAAATAAAATATCTTCAATATGTTTATTTTAAGAAAGTCTTGTCAATAAAAGTTTTTAGTTGAATATTTTCTTATATTTTTTTGAGTTACACTATCAATCATAATTCTCTAAAATGAAGTTAACTATGAAATTATTTATTCTAAAGAATATTTTATAATCAAATGCTACATGTAGGCAATTAAAAAATACCAAATTAAGAAAAGAGCTTATCTTTGAATTCATTGATAAAGAGATAAACAAAAAAATAATAACTTATAACAATTAAACTTTCACCTCTCATATTTCTT